ACCACACACACACTCACCCCAAAACACAACACACAACACAAAAACACACACAACCACCACGGGAAACAACCCCAAAAAACACCCCAACCCACCCCACACAAAAAACACACAACACACACATAACACGCACCCACCCCACACACACACACACCACACACACCCCCACACACACCCACACAACACACGCACACACACGCACACCCCCCACACACACGAAACACCACAACAACAGACAAAACGGACAGACAGACAGACACAAAAAACACACACACACAACACAAAACACACACCCAAACACACACACACACCACAACAACAAACAAAACACACACACACCACACACACACCCCCACACACACACAAAATATTATAATTTTATATATTATATAATATATATATATATATATATATTTTGTCGTGCCTTTTTGGTAAAACGGGTTTCAATTAGCAAAAACTAAATTTAAAATTAATCCTTTCCAAAATTTTTCTCCAATACTTTTAAAAAGGGATAAATTTTTTTCTTTAATGTTAATATAAAAACGCAATTTTGCCCCAAAAGACCCTTAAAAAATTCCCCAAACCTTATTAAAAAAATTTTGAATTTTAAATTTTTGCCAAACCCAAAACTAAATACATTTTAGATACTTTTCAAAATTTATTAAAAAACAAACACAATGAAAAATATTTTTTTTGTTAGGTTCAGAATTATTGTTGCGAAATTTTTTAAATACACAAATTTTCGTTGTCTTAAAAAGGCAAAAAAGAGCGTTGCTATTTAACAAAAAAAACGCCAAATTTTTTCCATTCGGGACGACATATACCCAAAAAAGTCCAGCCCAATAGTTTTAAAAATTGCGATTTTGGTTTAAATAGCAAAGCTCTTCTTTTCGAAAAACCAATCGAAAATTTTTGGGATGCAATAAAATTTTGCAAAAATGATTCTGAACCTAACGAAAAAATATATTTCATTGTGTTTTTTTTATTTTTAAAAAATTTTTGCAAACTTTTCTAAAATAATTTTTTGGATTAGGCTTAAAATTTAAAAAACGCTTTTTTATAATTTAGGGAAGTTTTTTAAGGGTTTTTTTGGTAGAAAAATTATTAATTTTTTTCATTAAAAATAAAAAAAAAAATTGGTTTTTTTCCTTTTTAAAAGTATTTGGGAAAAAATTTTTGAAAGGACTTAATTTTTGGGAAAAAGTTCTTGCTAAAAGACCAATTTACCCATTCGGCACGACATATTATTTTATATATATATATATATTTTACTAAAATTTAAAAATTTAATTTTAAAAAATATTTAAAATATTATATATATATATAATATATATATATTTAATATATATAATTGTTTTATATATATAATATATATAAAATATTTATATATTTTATATAAATATATATATAATATTTTTTTAAATAATTATATATATATATATGAAGAGATGCGTTTTTTTTGAAAACAAATGAAAGAAGTGTCCTCTCGCATGTTGGGTGTGTTCAGAGAAAGGGGTTTTTTTTTTAGTTTATAAAAACAGAAATGGGATATAATTTTTTTGGGGTAAATTAGAAAGGTGTGTATCTTTGAGTATATATGGGAAAAAAGAGGTGTTTATTTCCCCAGTTTTAAAGTATACACCTAGAGTTTACTATAACCAGAATTTTTTCGTAACAAAATTCCTCTACTAATTAATCCAATATAACTATTACATATACTGGTATGTTTCATTGTCCTAGTTTGTCGGGCACTACATGAAGCCTCGACTTGTATGTAATAAAGACACAAACAGAAACTATATTAATAAAATAAAGTTTCACATAACTGCAATTTGTGTCTATATTATATAGAAATAGAATACATGTACCACGAGTTGTTAAAATTCATGATTTTTAAATGACTTGATAATGATGTAGGACTGACCGAAAGATCGTCTAATGATTCGTCTTTAATTATTAATTGTTACAGCCAAGGTATTTGTTACTTTTATTAATCTATATTGAAGATAAAAATCAATCCGTCTTCATTAAGACTTTAGCTAGCAAGCATTAAGTAATAATAACTGCATAATTCTGATTCACTGAAAATCTGAGGTAGGTAGGACTTAAAAAATTGAAGCCCATGATCAGATAGTTACTAAAGGAACACATCTTGAAAGGAAAAACATGGATCAAACTACTCAGATGTTTGCTACTGAAGTGATCCATAAAATTGAAGGTAGTTATATGATGCTATAGGATTTTTCAGGAGCAGGACCCAGTTCGTTTTAGCAAGAAATCTGGCGAGCTGAAATGTCTGGACGAGTCAGAAATCAGGTCGAATCATAGATTTGGTCGAACTAGATATCTAGTCGAACGAAATGTCTAATCAAACGAGATATCAGGTCGAGCGAAATATCTGGTCGAGTGTGAAATGTGGTCGAACGAGAAATCCGCTCGAGCGAGACACTGTACTTTGTCGAGCGATAATTGAGCATTTGTCTTTGATTTCAAATCCAACAAATGAGTGATTTTATTTGCAGAAACAGAACATTTTGTTCATATATTGATTCCAATATATTAATATATATTAAGAATTGTATTTGTCGCTGACCTTAGCAGAGCTACGCATGTTCTCTCGGGTAACTGGAGGTGTTTGTATCTAAGATTTTACATGTTACTTGGCCCGGCATCGATGGTGCTTCATATGTTGTTCAAGGGATCTTGATCAAAGGAACCGAAACTACCCAACCCTTTTATGGATCAAACCTGGCTAGCTTCCTAGCAACCCTCCCCCCCCCCTTTCTATGAAGTAACCCCTTCCCTTGCATATAATATTTATAATAATAATAATAATTATTATTAATGTTAATAATAATAAAAATAATAATATAATTATAGTTATAATTATAATAATGCTAATAGTAATTATCATTATTAAGAAATTAATAATTATTATTAGTATTAATAACATTAATAATAATAATAAAAAATATAATTATAGTTATAATTATAATAATGCTAATAATAATTATTATTATTAAGAAATTAATAATTATTATTAGTATTAATAACGTCAATAATAATTATTAGTAGTATTAATAACGTCAATAATAATTATTATTAATTGCAATAATTATTTTTATTACAAGCTATCTGATTTCATTTGAAATATGCCTAAGTTAGTTTAAAAGCTCATCAAAAATAAAGATTATTACAAAGCAGAGTACTGGGGCCTTATCAAAAAAAAAAAATTTCCCTTATTAAAGAGGGCTTTAATCAATTTTCGGGAATTTTAATAAGCAGACTATTGAAGGGAAAAGAATTAACTACTTAATAAAAAAATGATAAAACTACTAAAAAAATCGAATCCCCACTAAGAAACGCCAGATTTGAAAATTTTTTTAAGACAATTTTGAAGAAAAATTTATTTTGACTGTCTCAAAGGGAGATCATTTTTCCCCAAGATACATCATGCAGTAAATTTGGAGCCCCCGAATATCAAAAATTCAAAAAAAACTAAATTTAAAAATAATCGGGACTATTGAATATAATAAAAGATTTAAACTATCTCGGCTTCCGGGGTTAAAAAGTTTTTTCTTTTGTTTTTAAAGCTGAAAAAAATTTAAAAAATTTTGTGTAAGATTTTTTATAAAGGGTTGTTTAATATTAATTTGTTGAAATTTGGGTTTTTCCGATATTATCATTATTATTTTATTTTTTTTAAAATGTTAAAAAATGCTAAAATGTGGACCTAAGTCAGGGAATTATAAAAAAGTTTTTCTTTTTTTCATTTGCACAGGCCTCCCGCTTAAAAAAAATATTTTAAAATTCTATTTTTTCAAAAATTTTTCTTAGTTTTTTGCCATATCCTCCCTAAAACTCAGTAAAAAAGGGGCTATGGGATCCCAAGCCAAAACCCTTCACTCCCCCAATGTCCCCCGTCGGAAGGAAGGGTTGCCGGGGCCCACTCACTGGTCCCCCCAAGTTTTCTTTCCGGGGGTAGTGTTTTGATGCTAGGGGAGGCAGCGTTTTTCCCTTTTTTTCCCCCGGCGGCCATTTTATGCTTTTACTACACTTTTCTATATTTTTACTTTTTTGGAAACCAAAACGGGTTATGACCCCAAATTTTTTCAAAATGAAAATTTTTTATGTAAATAGGGGGAAAGCCCATGGCAAAGGCAGAGAGGGTTTGGATGTGAAAACGCCCGGAATGGGAAAGGGGGGGAAAACTATATAAGTATATCCAAAGGGTTTGCCCTGTCCAAGAAAAGGTCATTATCTTTCCATTTTACTGGGCCTTTTGCTATTATTTATTTATTTTATTTTTTTTTAATCCCGGAATATTTTTAAAATTTTCGTGGTGGTTTCCCTTTCAGCTCACATCCCGGAGGACCCAAGACCAACCTAATGCAAGCGAAAATTATTTGGAATAAATCCCCCTTGTTCCCAAATGGAAATTTGGCCGAAAATTTTTGGCGTTGCAACCAAGGGGAAAAAGGGGAAATTGCTTTAAAGGGGTTGGGTTTAAACCCACACGAATTTTGGAGCTTTTCCTGAAAATAGAAAAAAAAAACTTAGGGCTGGGGTTTGGGAAAAGAAACTTTTAAAAAAGGAACACCTGTAGAGCTGCAAATTAACGCCTAAAATTTACTTCCGAGTACCCCTTAAAGGGGGGGTATCTGGGTAACGAACACGATATCCACATCGCATTTTATCCAACCCAATAGAGTTCTCAGTCCACCAGGAAATCGGAAAAGTTTACTGCCTGTTTTAAAATCCCGGGAAACACAAAAAATACCTTATAAGATCATTTGGGTGAAGAGGGAAAAAAATCAACAAGAAAAATATATATATATATATTTTATATATTTATATATATATATATATTTATATATATATATATATATATATATATATATATATATATATATATATATAATATATATATATATATATATATATGTATATGCAAGACTCTCTTGAAAACTAAACGCTATCAAGACGAGTGATTATCACTGATCTTAGTTGATAAGTCAATATTATATACCTAGAGAGTTTGCTCGATATCTCAGCTGTCATACACGATTGAAAATACTTTTACTGTGTTTAGGACAGACAGAATGTCTAGATTTTTCCTGCAAGGAATGTATACCGCACACTGAACAGTAAAACTATCAAGTGTCTTACAAGTGGAATGAAGGGAAGAAATAACACTTATGAAGTGGCCAGTGAATAATGGTCATACGTTATGTACATGAGAGGAACTTGAGTGACAGTTGGCCCTACGTTCTAATGATGACACACACTACACATTACTACTTTCTGTAAGTTTCCAACTAGTAAAATATACCCAAACGACAAAATAAAGAATGCATTAATAAGGAAGCCATCATAAAATATTTCTGATAATTTTCAACGCTGACAGAAATTTAATGGCCTCAATATACATAATAAATTTTAATAAGTTTTGTTTCTTTTCATGTTACATTTATATATCCCTTCAGTTACAGGTATGCAGTGATATATTCTGGATTCTAATCCTTTTGTGCTGTTTTCACATCTGGCAATAAAATATACAATCAACTCATAGTTATTTTCGGTACATGTGGCCTTTTTGGTTTTAATGTAACGAACTTACACCCAACTCTACATAAAACATCATCAACGAGAAGGATAGTAATAATAATGGTAATAATGATGACACTCCATCACCTTCAAGACAAACACACGGTAGACCTACATATATATTTACTGACCGCAAGTACTAATCTTAGCCTCAAATGTCACAAATGATAACGTCATTTATGGACTCATATTAAGAGTCGCCCATGATATCGACATGCCTGGTACCAACATAAACATTAAACCTTGCAAACAACATAGTGGACCCTGATACACAATGGCTGATGTTATTAATAATATATAATACCTTTGTACAAATCAACCTCAGCTAATACCTTATGTACATTTAAGTCTCAGATACATTTTTAAATATTGTAAAAGCAACTACAAAAAATAATTTTATGCTGTACATCTTCTGACCTTCACATCACAGACAAGAATACAAATACAAAGGACAATTATAAAGTTTTATAAGGTGCTTTAAACGTTTACTTTCAAACGTTTAACGTCAAGGGTAAAATATTTTTCATAACTTTTGGTGTAGTCACTGAGACTTTGGCAATATTGAAATCCTTAAATTAAAATATTTTGTATATAATATAAAGTTAATAGAAAATCATAAAGTCACTTATGTAGTCAATAGCTCCTTAACACATTAAAACTATATATATTCTCTATGAAAGATTATATACACTATTTCATATATTATGTTTATGTTTATATTTTTATTTTGTCATTAGAAATTATTCCAGATTTTTTTTTTATTGGTAACGGCTATTATCATAATTCTATATTCGAATAAATATGAAAAGGAAATTAAATTATAATTGAACACATCAATACATCAATATTATTTTTAAAAAAATTTGCTTAGATACATATTCCTCACTAAGTACAAGAAATATTCCTTACAAGAATATTATTTATAAAAGTTAATAAATATACAATGATAATTTTGATGTGTTCGAATTATCATTTTTAATTTCACATTTAATCTAAATTCAACATCATATTTCATCATACATTATACACATCTAATTCTTTTAAGAACATAAGATATATTTTTCACTGAGTTCTTTCTCTTAAATCATGTTCTTATATCCTATATGATATACACTCGTCCTTCAGTGTGCACATGCTGTGGGATTTTTTTTAATTCACTCTGATAAAAATAATTTAATTTATCTAGTTACTTTAGCTATACATTTTGTTTTAAATTATTCAAATCACTAGAAGTTAAAATAATGCATTACTCTCACAATTTTCAAATACTTTTCATGACATTAACTGTCAAGCTTTATCGTTCACGATTTTTATTATAATTTACTTCTAAGGTTGTCACTTAATAATTTTCCTTTAATATTTGGCATTTTTCACACAAAAAATAAAAATGTGATTCAGTGCTCTTAACACACACTCCTTGAAAGAAATTTTTTTTTCACAGTTCCCTCACATGAAATTATTCTTTTTTTTTTTTCATTTAGTATCCATTTTTCATGTGGTGTATGGTTTTCCCGTCAGCCAAGAGTCACTTGATGATCTATCTTCAGAAGTTAAAAATGCATAACACTTGACCTGGAAAGGTCGTTGTCATTTAATTATTTTCTAGTTACATCAAGGCCATTGTGATTTGCTTCACATTAGTTGAAAGACGGTAAAGTCTTTCTTCTTTCCACTCATGGTCTTTTAGGTTCATATCGCTGGGAGAGAGCTAAGAGACGTCGCTGATTGTCAATTACCTGAAGATTCCTGACATAAACCCTGATTTCATTCTCATTTTTAGGCACTGGTGGAGCCTCAAGTGCTGAAAAACAAATTCAGTGCTGATTAAAGGAAATCTGTGCACATTAAAATTAATAACAAGATTCCTAACCGAGCTGGGATAGTAATGTGAATAAGATGTTATGACAGTGTGACTAATTTAATACCCAAACTGAGAGTTAACCTCAATCATGAAACAGACAAATAACTGAAAACTGAGAGTAATTTTTAATACACGGAACTGGTAGTCATCTTCTAAGATCAGAGAACTAATAAAAGCATCATCAAGTGTTTATTTGACTAACCCGAGAAGGTTAATAACCAAGGGAAGATAAGGTTACCTTATCTTTCAATAAGAATAATAACCAAATTTATATTAACTAGGGATAGGACGATACCAATACGATAATACCATACCAATACCGATAATATTCCTATAATTTATATAAAAAAATATTATGTTTAATATAAACGGGAATGCTTACTGCTTAATATATATTAAATAACCCAGTGAGATTAAATATTAAATAATTGAATTCTCTCAGATGTCAATGTCATTACTCATTAATATATTACAAGAACCACAGTCAGGATTACGAACTGAAAAAAAAAGAAAACATCAAATTTCTGAATCTATCTGTATATTTTGAAATTTAATGAAAATTTAATCGGAAATCAGTTAAGACAACAAAAATCTGAATTATTATTATTATTATCATGACTAAGCGCTAAACCCACAAGGGTCATTCAGTGCTACATAAAAATCTGAATAATTCCCAGTTATTTTAAACATGAAACTAAATTATCCTGCTCTCATTATATTGTTACTTTAATGTTTTAAAAATATTACAGTTCACAGGTTTTTAAACTTTGATGACAAACAATTAAAAATAAAATAAATAAATATATCATTATTCTAATACATAAGAACATAAGAACATAAGAACGAAGGAACACTGCAGAAGGCCTACTGGCCCATGCGAGGCAGGTCCAAGTCCCTACCGGCTTAAGCCAATGCACCCAACCTAGTCAGGTCAGGTTCACATTGACTCAAGGGAGGAACACGGCAACCGACCCGTTAGCACAAGCTATCAGGTCTAACTCACACCCACCCACATCTACTCATGTATTTATCCAACCTATTTTTAAAGCTACACAACGTTCTGGCCTCTATAACGGTACTTGGGAGTTTGTTCCACTCATCCACAACTCTATTACCAAACCAGTACTTTCCTATATCCCTCCTGAATCTGAATTTTTCCAACTTAAAACCGTTGCTGCGAGTCCTGTCTAGGCTAGATATTATCAGCACACTATTTTCATCCCCTTTATTTATTCCTGTCTTCCACTTATAAACCTCAATCATATCCCCCTAATTCTACGTCTTTCTAGAGAGTGCAGTTTCAGGGCCCTTAGTCTATCCTCATAGGGAAGGTTTCTGATACATGGGATCATCTTTGTCATCCTCCTTTGTACATTTCCAGAGAATTTATATCCATTCTGTAATACGGTGACCAAAACTGTGCAGCATAATCTAAATGAGGCCTAACCAAGGATGTATAGAGTTGAAGAACAACCTGAGGACTCCTATTATTTATGCTTCTTGATATGAAGCCAAGGATTCTATTAGCTTTATTGCGAACACTTATGCACTGTTGTCTTGGTTTCAGATTACTGCTAACCAGAACTCCTAAATCTTTTTCGCAAACCGTAATATTAAGATCTACATTATTTAGTTTATATGTGGCATGGTTATTGTCCTGTCCAACATTTAGAACTTTGCATTTGTCTATATTAAACTGCATCTGCCACTTCTCCGACCACTGCATCAGTCTATTCAAATCTTCCTGGAGTGCTCGAATGTCCTCGTCAGAATGAATTCGACGGCCTATTTTGGTGTCATCGGCAAACTTGCCGATGTCGCTCTTTATGCCCTCATCTATGTCGTTTATGTAGATTGTGAACAGCAGGGGGCCCAACACTGACCCCTGTGGAACACCGCTCGTGACACTTCCCCACTCTGATTTCTCCCCATTTATGCAACTCTCTGCTGCCTATTTGTCAACCATGCCTCTATCCAGGAAAAAATTTCTCCTCCTATTCCATGTGCTTTAATTTTCCTCAATAGTCTCTGATGTGGGACCCTGTCAAAAGCCTTACTGAAGTCCATATACACAATATCATATTCGTTACCATGATCTACCTCCTCAAATACCTTAGTGAAAAAAGTTAATAAATTCGTAAGGCAGGAACGTCCCTTTGTAAAACCATGCTGAGATTCGTTGATTAATTTATGCTTTTCAAGGTGGCTACGAACTGCCTCGGCAATTATTGATTCCATAAATTTTCCCACTATGGAGGTTAGGCTTATTGGTCTATAGTTCGAAGCTAAGGACCTGTCACCTGTTTTGAAAATAGGTATCACATTTGCCATTTTCACTTATCTGGCACCATGCCAGTTTGTAGTGATATGTTGAAAAGATTAGCCAAAGGTGTGCTAAGCTCCTCTTTACATTCCTTTAGAACCCTTGCATACAGTTCATCAGGGCCTGGGGATTTGTTAGGTTTTAATTTATCTATTTGCCTAAGGACCATGTCACTTGTGACCCTAATAGTGCACAGTTTATTATCGTCCTGTTCTACATAATTTATCATTACTGGAATATCACTGGTATCCTCCTGTGTAAAAACTGAGAGGAAGTAACTAAAATTACACACTAGACAAGTTAGTAACCTGCACATACAAGACTGAAACATGACGACGCTTCGGTCTGACTTGGAAAAATTTATATAATAATAATAAAAATATACACAAATAACCCGCACATAAAAGAGAGAAGCTTACGACGACGTTTCGGACCGACTTGGACCATTGACATTTTTTTTTAAATAATAATAATAATAATAATAATAATAATAATAATAATAATAATAATAATAATAATAATAATAATAATATCTTTATTTACTACAAGTACATGTACAAGGTATACAGGCCTAGCTGACATCAATGACATATTACTACATAGAAAACCGCGTGTTTTGCAGAGCATTTCGGGCAAATTAGGTCAGTTTTGTCCCAGGATGCGACCCACACCAGTCGACTAACATCCAGGTACCCATTTTACTGATGGATGAACATAGACAACCGGTGTAAGGAAACACGTCCGATGTTTCCACCCCTTCGCCAGGAATCGAACCCTGACCCTCACCGTGTGAAGCGAGAGTTTTTGCCACTAGACCACGGGGCACCCAGAAGCGCGAAGGGAAGAGAGCCAGAGTATGTACCAGACGGGACGGGGACGGGATAGTGTAACGGGAGAAGGAACAGCATTAAAGTGGTAGTAGTGTTGGTAGATTTAATAGTAGCAGTAGTAGTCCTAGCGATGTAAGTATTAGTATTGGTAGTATTAGTGTCAGTGATCTTGGCCTTTAGTTGAACCTCTCCTGCTTGTCTCCTTAAACAATGGGACTACATTCACAGTTTTCCGGATCTCTTGCAATTGCTCAATGTCCATTGCCTTGTAGATTTTAGCTAGTGGTTCAGACATAGAATCCATGGTGACACTTTGTCAGATTTCATTGTATTTTATGTGTGAAGCTTTTTAACTGTGTCTCTGTTGCTTATGTTTTCCAGTACTAGAAGGTGTACCAGTTCTTCTTAGCCTTCTGATATTGCCCGCTTCCACCCAAAAAACGTTTTTAAATCGTTTGTGCAACGCTTCACAGATTTTTTTGTCATTGTTTGTTAGTTGAATTACCTTGTCTTTTACTCTTGTCTTTCTTCTGATGTGGCTGTGAGGTAGTTTCAGCTCAGTCTTGGCTTTTGCAGTTAAGTCATTCTCAAACTGCTGACTTTACGTTTCTCCTCAACCTTGCATATTCGTTTCTGCTTACTTCTTTGTTTTCGACTGCCTTTCACTTTCTGTATTTTTTAAACTCGTGAGTTCTTTTTTATTCTTTGCATCTTTGGTTAAACATAAGAACATAAGAACATAAGAAAGGAGGAACACTGCAGGAGGCCTGCTGGCCCATACTAGGCAGGTCCTTTACAATTCATCCCACTAACAAAACATTTGCCCAATTTTCAATGCCACCCAAGAAATAAGCTCTGATGTGAAAGTCCCACTCAACTCCAACCCCTCCCACTCATGTACTTATCCAACCTAGATTTGAAACTACCCAAAGTCCCAGCCTCAATAACCCAACTAGGTAGACTGTTCCACTCATCAACTACCCTATTTCCAAACCAATACTTTCCTATGTCCTTTCTAAATCTAAACTTATCTAATTTAAATCCATTACTGCGGGTTCTCTCTCGGAGAGACATCCTCAAGACCTTATTAATATCCCCTTTATTAATACCTATCTTCCACTTATACACTTCGATCAGGTCTCCCCTCATTCTTCGTCTAACAAGTGAATGTAACTTAAGAGTCTTCAATCTTTCTTCATAAGGAAGATTTCTAATGCTATGTATTAATTTAGTCATCCTACGCTGAATATTTTCTAACGAATTTATGTCCATTTTGTAATACGGAGACCAGAACTGAGCTGCATAATCTAGGTGAGGCCTTAAATGATGTATAAAGCTGCAGTATGACCTCTGGACTTCTGTTGCTTACACTTCTTGATATAAATCCCAGTAATCTATTTGCCTTATTACGTACGCTTAGGCATTGCTGTCTTGGTTAAGGTTGCTGCTCACCATAACCCCCAAGTCCTTTTCGCAATCTGTATGGCTAAGTTCTACATCATTTAACTTATAAGTACTAGGATTATGGGCACTCCCAAGCTTCAGAACCTTGCATTTATCTACATTGAACTGCATCTGCCACTTTTCTGACCAAGAATGGAGTTTGTTTAAATCCTCCTGAAGTTCCATAACATCTACGTTTGAATCAATTATCCTACCTATCTTTGTGTCATCGGCGAATATTGCTCATATCACTAGTAATTCCCTCATCAAGATCATTGATATATATTATAAACAACATCGGGCCCAAGACTGATCCCTGTGGAACGCCACTTGTTACAGATCCC